TATTATTACCTAATTATTTCAATGTCTCCAATTGATTTTTTCTCTTTTTTTTCAGTAATATTACTCAATTCTGTATAGTGTGATATATTTATATAATAAAATGTGTAAACCATCGCTATACTCAAAAGTATGGTGTGCATATTAGTGATTCAATTATCATGTTCATAAAACAATAAATAAATAGTTTTGCTGTTATTACACTATATACACACACACACACGTTATATACAAGTATCTGCATGTTTGTTCACCATAACAAACCACTAAGTTGGTATGGTGAGTCCAAACAACAAGAGTGGACTGCCACACACCAGCCGGCAGATGGTACCTCCCTCCCTCCTTCAACACCTTGCTCGCCAACATTCCTCCTCCCACAATACTGTTTGTACTTTTATTGCACTTTATACACATATTATATATAAGTATCTTCATGTTTTATTCACCACAACTGTACAGCTATTGCAGTACCCATGGTGTATTGGTTAAGACACTTGCCTCATTAATTATATTCCTGTTAGGTGTTACCACTTACATAATTTTGGGAGGTTGTTTTAATATTGCTAATTCCATCTTATTATATTGTATAATCATGAAGTTAGTAAATCGTGGTAAATCATTCTGCTGGCTCCCGGCTGCTTCTCTCCACTCTGCGAATAACATAAAATATAACTCATGCAGTGCTAATATTTCCTCAGTTAATCTCAAATGAATAGATTAACTGCCTATTAGACCTAAACATACTCTTGATGTTTAACCCTCAAACCGCTAGGGGCCCAAATGGAATTCACACCCACAGGCGCAAAAAAAAAAAAAAAAAAAAAAATCAAAAAAATTCTTACATCTTATAGAAGTGTTCATTTTTGTTCCCTGATCACGGAAAAAATAACAAAAAAAATCGTAGGTGGCATATTTTAGCCGCAATAGGGTAGGGAAGTGTGGCAAAAAAGGGGCGTTGGCAGAACCTTCGCCAGACGAGGTCTACTCCGCTCGAGCTGTCAGACGGCAGTTGCCACAAATATATTATTACTAAATTATTTCAATGCCTAATTGATTTTTTCTTAGTTTTTTTTTGTAGTAATATTATTCCATACAGTGAATTGTGGTATATTTATATAATAAAATGTGCGAACCATCGCTGTACTCAAAATTATGGTGTGCATATTAGTGATTCAATTATTATGTTCATAAAACAATAAACAAATAGTTTTGCTGTTGTTACACTATATACACAGGTTATATATAAGTATCTGCATGTTTTGTTCACCATAACGAACTACTAAGTTGGTCTTGTGAGTCCAAAAGCAACGATGAGTGACCGCCAAACACCAGCGAGCCACTCACTGCCACTCCCTCCCTAAACACCACCTCACTCGCCCTCATTCTCCTCCCACAATACTGTTTTTGCATTTATTCACTATACACAGACGTTATATATACGCATTTACATGTTTTGTTCACCATAACTGTACATCTAAGCTTGTATGGTGAGTAATGGCACAAAGACATAGCTACTCAGTCAGCTGATCAGCGGCCGCCCTCAAGGCCAGACGTACTAATATTTCTCCTCCAACAATATTGTTTGTGGTGTTATTACGCTATATACACACATTATATATAAGTATCTACCTGTTTTATTCACCATACCTGTACAAATAAGCTGGTATGGTGCCCAAAGACCATAGTCGCCATCAGTAAACAACATGCCAAGTCGTGCAGACGACGCTCCTCCCTCACCAAAATGGCGACTCCCAACCTACTCCTCTCGCTGTTATCTCACACTATACACAAGTTATATATATAAGTATCTACATTTGTGATCACCATAGCGAACCACTAAGCTGGTACGGTGAGTGCAGTCAATATAAGGTGACCACACACAGTCAGAAGACGACGCCACAACCCTCCCTCCACAGCCTTACTCCTCCCTCCATGGAGCACAGCGCTAAATATCACCACAATCCTGCTATTATCAGAATCCTGGTCAGTTTTATTACAGTCAGGGGTCTTCAGTAATACTATCACTGCTAAATAATAGCAGTATCATATATATTATGGCATTTGTAGGCGATGCTGTGGTTACAAGCTGAACAGCGGTGCTGTGAGCTCGTGCTGCATGCGCCAGCCTTGGTGGCTTGCTCAATACTGATGCTCTAACACCCAAGAATGTTAGCCTGGATTTTTTTTCTAGGTGGCATCTGGCAACTATCGGTCGTGGCTGTACTATAGCTGCCCCTATCCCAGGCGGGGCGCTTAAATTATAGCGCTAGACACAAAATCATATATAAATGATGTGCGCGGTTTCGGTTTTGTCACTGATATCATTTATATATGATATGCGCGGTTTGAGGGTTAAGATCTCCTACAGCATAATGGCCGGCCTATTCTATGATAAGTAAATATGGCCATAAATACCACTAGAACTTCTGTAGCCGACCGAACACAATTTCCCTTCTCGTGTGAAGCTAGCAGCAAAGTCTGGGAGTTGTGAGACGTCAGATGACCCAAATATTGGAAGATGCCAATCTGCTTGCTTCAGCAGGGATCAGATCGAGCTCGTGTTGTTGTCGTGAGACTCTGTGCATAAGTGATGCGTTCTCCCCTCTCTTGTGGTGAAAGCCCAGGAAATAGTCATGCTATTTAATTTATATCGTTCACTAACAAGACGATATTTGCATCATTTTATGTCAAATACCAGAGAACAATTTTCCATTGTTCATAACATTGGATCGAAAGGTTTTCTGTGATAAAGGTAAGATATACAGTACAGTACATACTGTATTGTAGCTAGTACAAAAAGACTAGTATTCGGTATAAAATGTATTTTTAAATAAATATATATGGGGGTGTGGAACGGATTAATTCAATTGACATTATTTCTTATGGGATAATTTGTTTCGACTTAAGATTTTTTGACTTACGACCCGTTGCTGGGAGCAGATTAAATTCGTAAGTCTAGGCCCCACTGTACTAAGTTGCCAGAACTCTGATAGAATACTAAAACCCCTGAACTGGAATATCATTCCTGAACATGTTGGAGAAGACTGCAGCGAAGCCACATTTTTGCAAATATCATGGGCCTGCAGGCTAACTAGACTTAATAATACTGCATGACCTGAGAAATGAAAGCCTTGGAACAGGGGACCAAGAAAACAGAGTCACCCAGCAAAGCATGCACTAAGACACAACCGTTTGCCTGAAGGTAGTGGCAAAGAGCTACCACTGGATACAACAAATGATGCACCCTAGCTGAATCAACTAAGCATCAATCACATAAGGACCCCTCCAAAATTCCCCGACTCTGTCTTGACCAGAAAATTAGAAGGCTGCAGCGAAACAAACAGCCCAACAGGGTCAAAAGAGTAGAACCCCTGCCTTCGGAGAAAAGTCGGAAGTTCCCCACCCCTACAGCCTTAGTAAAGAAATCACGTGCTGAAAGGAACTCCATAAACTAAGGTGAAGAATGAATAACCAAAACCCATTCAAGAGACCAGAACAACACAGGATAAGCATGAACATGCCAGAGGCGAAAGAACGTGCAAGACAACCTATCAAATTGCGCCATGAAGTTGTTGACTCTGTGCGCAAGCAACATTGGCTCCTCCAACAATGAACGATAAGAGGTGACAGTATTAGGCATGAGATACCAATCTAGAAACAACGAAGACAAATAGGACGGCAACCTTGACTAAACCCGAAGACAGATGATAAAGGGACAGAAAATGTGGAAATGAGTGCCAGGCATCTTCATTATGATGGAACAAAGAAAGATGCAGGTGGGACACATCAGCAAACCATCCAGAAAGTTAGTGAACCAATACAGACCACTGCTGGGTTCATAGAGACTGTAGCCTCAAAATTGCCAAATGAACTCTCCAACAATGTAAACAATACTGTAAACATTGAATCTTGGGAAACAAGAGCGAGCTTGTTAAAACTACTCCCAACCAGAGGGAAGCCTCCGGAGCTCGTGATGCCCACTGGTCTACTATGCCAGTTCTAGAGCAGATGCATATATGAAACCCCAAACTGACCAACTGGAAGGTAATCACGGACCCACTTGGGCTTGCCCAGAAAGAGGCATTTCATTGCATTTAATGCTGGGTTTCTGGGGCAGCCCCCTTGTCACTCCCTAATGTTAACTATATATGAAGAAGACAGGGACTCGCCAGGGAAGAGGAGAAACCATAGACAGTTGAAATGAAGATGAGATACCAGGCCAAGAGACATGACCCGAGGCAACACAGCTACAATAAGGCCTAGGAATATTAACCCTGCACTGCTCGCCCGTTAAATATTGACAACCCCATGGTGTGCAAAAAAAAAAAATTGTTCTAAACAAAAATTTCTTTCAACATTGTTAGTTATTAGCTGCCAGGAAGCAGGGAAATCCTAGTAAGAAATCTCTACCTCTTGTGTTTTAACCGTAGTGGCCTTACCTTACCTTGGGATGATTTCGGGGCTCAACGTCCCCACGGCCTGGTCCTCGACCAGGCCGTGGGGGACGGCCTGGTCGAGGACCAGAGAAGTTGCATTTTTTGGTAGAAATTAGACGTGTCGCACGGGAATAACTGTCAATTTATTTTCATTGCTTCTCACTTTACTTTTCACATTTCACTTTATATTCACGTTTCTAACGTGATTGATATAAAGAATTATTTCCTAGATTAAGAAGTAATAAAGAAATAGATGTGTGGCTGGAAGTGCATATTTGCAATACTTGTGAAACATACGATGACTGTTAGTATGGGCCGAGTTGACAAACTTTTACTATCTAAGATTAACTGTACTGGTAATGGATGGATACCACAAATGAATCAAGTATTCAAGAAATGAGTTGTAACAAAAAGTGCTTGACATACCTGGAGCATACCTGGAGAGGATTCTGGAGTTCTACTACTCCCTGAGCCCTTCCTGAGGCCAGAACATTTTGGCTTGATTGGCTAAACTAATCATAACCTTTATGTTCATAAAATTCCCTCAGTTATTTTGCTTCTTTACAGATTCCTGACAGCACCATAACAGTGTGGAGTTCCCCTTCAGATGACATTGATGTTCAAGCTCTTGTTGCCCTTAGGGATAATATTGGCCATGATTCAGTTTACTTTGACCTACCAGAAGATCAGCAGAAAGCCTTTGATGAAGCTAAACAGAAAGAGAGCAATACTGCTGCAGTAAAGTTCCAGTTCTTGCCTCAGAATGCCTCTGCCTGGGCCACTGTTGGAGTTGCCCTGGCTTCAGCTCTTGCTGCTCTGTATTTGTATGAATAAAGTAATGTGGTTTTGTTGGCTGCTCCATTGTATTGTTGGACAATGATGAGTATTGCCATGAATGTTGCAGGTATTACTGTGCCTTACTTTTGTGAAAATTTATAATGGTAGCTTGCATGAAAGATATATATACAGTGCAACCTTGATTTGGCGAATCTAATTTTGGCAAGTCTCCAGTTGAACTTTCTATGTTGGATTTACTCACCAGCTCCACCAAGTAAGTGTTTGGAGATTTGGCAAAGCAGGAGCTGTGTGGATTTGCTGAGGAATCATTGACCCATATTGTGTGGAAACATTCACTACACTATGGGCCCTTCTTCCTTTGAAAATGAAGTTCATAGTCTGGGACATGGAAAATATGTTAGCTGTGGTGAAATCTCTTGACAGACAGGTTCTCCTGGTGTCAAGAGAAGAGCCTGTCTGTCAAAGTTGAACCAATCATTTCCATTATATGATAGGTTGAATTCAAAATTTGCTCAGTTAAATTGGCCAATAGAACGTGGAAAATATTAGGGTATGAGTAATAACACTTAACATGACTAATCATGTTAAAAAAAAAAAAAAAAAAAAAAAAAAGTTGGGGCCTCGGGAAAGCCATTGAGCATAGTTAAAATAAAATTCTATCATTTGTATTCATTCCAAGTTGTTGCATTTCATTCACTAAAAATATGAGCCCATCTTTTTCTGAAAATAAAGCTTTGAGGCTGTGGCATGGGAAATGAGCTAGACGTGGTGAAATCTCATTAGAGACAGGTTCTCCCAATGGTTTTTCCATCGTATGATTGGTTGAAGATATAACTTCACTTGGTGAACTTAGCCCATAGAGTATGGGAAATATTTGGATATAAATGGTAACACTCTTAATATGACTCGAATCACATTTTTAATTATTTTTATAAAAGTAAACATTACAAAAAATATACAGGTGACTTGATATATTTTTCCTGGCTTTAAAACCAAAAATACATCTCACTAATACCTCCTAAGGGCATCTCCAGTTGCAACGAATCCCTCATCCCAACAAATTTGGGATAGTTCCATATAGTGCACTAAACTGAGCTTGCACTCTTCTACTTATATAATTTCTAAATTTTTTTAGTCATATTGAGAGACTTATAATTACAATACAATGTTATGTTATCTTTTGACACATCCAATTAAATTATATAGTTTGTGATATAACCAGTTACTGCAATGTTTATATTCCAGCATTTCAGATTAATATTTAAGGTTCTGCCTGTTTTTAGTAATGTACTGTATTTTCACAGCTGACAATCTTTGAAAATCAAAGGATGTATTCCAGCAAATCCTGTGGCACACACACGATTTAAAAATTACAAACTTAAAGCTATGTTAGAAAATTTGGGATGCGTCAGAGATATTTTTAAGTTCACTTTCTCCACTCCTCTTTCAAGTACAAGCACATGGATAGAAGTGGCTGACTGTACAGTACATCCATCACATTCTGTATATTGAAAATATATTTGCATTTTGTTAAATGAATACAAATCAGGAATAAGGGTCAGATTTAAGGAAAGAAATATTTAAAGGGCAACAGTTTTGTAGAAGCAGTATAGTGTGTTAGTGATGACTAGAGAGCAGTACTGTGATGTGTATACAGTAGCTCTGAGCAGTTTTACAGCTTGGCTGTATCAGCCTTCATTACCACACACTATCATTGATCTAGTTATCTGTACTACATCAATGAAAACCATTTGTTTGTAAATTTGCTAACATAAATTATTAGGTTATACATACAGGTATGTTATACTGTATTTATCATGATGATTTGTCACAGAAAAATGCCGTGTACACATTTAGTGAAGCGGCGTTGATGGTACATACACACTTGTGTAATGAAAGATTAGTTTGAAACATAATATTGAAAAATTAATATAAAAATAACATTGCATTGTTTCTCAAAAAAAATAGTAATGGCTTCATAATGGGTGTGTGGATAAGTGTAGCAGTGTGTGGTGCAGGTAACATGTACATTGCCTCTATACAAATCTACACTGCTTTATGCTTTTCATGGCTTCAACATTAGTTATTAGTCTGCAGTCCTCAATTCTCTTATGAAAGTTAAGTAAATAATAAATAACATTATTTGCAGATACAACTATCAACATGGCCAAATCCAGCTAAAATTATTGTGAATGTTTTGTGTAGGGTAGATATAAAATGTTTGCAAATGCACTACTATCCCCTACATGCACACTTTCACACATTTCCTGCACAATATACTAAAAGCTAATCATGAAGTTTGCTTTCCTCACTAACTGTTTTATTCATTGTATAAATTACATGGAGAAATAGCATAAGGCAGTGACAGGATTACTGACCTGAATTATAATTATACTGGACTACTGGTTAATGACAATTTAGTGCAATAGAAACTATGTATTTTTAAAATGTTTGATATATAAAAACATATATTAATAAATGACTCTTAATTCAGTACCCATACTATATCAACATGGAATATGGTTCACCTTATAGTTTCTGTAATCTGGGACAGGAAGCCTTGTTAGGCTTATAGAGGTCCCTCTAGGCCAACTACTGACCTTCCCCAAGATGCATCCCACAACAGTTGGCTGTTTACTGCTAGGTGAACAGTGGCATCAGGCGAGGGAAAATCGAACACTAGATCCTGGGTTGAGTCAAGACCATACACCACTACGCTGAAGGACTTGTGAAAATGTCTTCCAAACCAGTGTTTTACACACTTCATGACAATGAATACCATTAAGCCCAGTGCAGATGATTTTTGTTGACATGCTTTACCCTCCACGACCCTCAGTAAGTACTGACTTTATGGTAATTGTAGGCTGCATTCCAGGCATACTTCATGTGATGGGTTTTAAAATTGATAATGGTTTCAAGCATCAACTTATTTATGTTTGACCATGTGGGCTACCCTAATAGTCCAGGACCTAGATTCACAAAGCTCCATGTATTTCTTCGTAAGTAGATTTGCTACGAAGGTTCCTAAGTATGCGCTAAGATGATGCTTACGTGCGATTCAGGAAGGTATTCTTACGAAGATATTTGGGTTTTGGATCTGGTTCACCTGCATGCCGACAGAGGTCACTACTGTGTTTAGTTTGGCCAATTCCAACAAGAAAACTTAAGACAAAATAAGTGTAGGGAGTAACACTTGGTAGAAGGAATTTAATGTGAATAAATGCCACTTTATGGAATAGGAGATAATAAGCCACACACAACTCACAAATTATTTAAAAATACTTTAAAAGAATTATGATAAAAGATCTAGGAGTGGTTCTGGATTGAAAATTCACATTAAGCCCACATAAAGAACATTATACAAGGAGCGTATGCTATACAATCCAACTCATAGGTTCAAACTAAGGAGACAAAGCTGCCAAAAAAAAAAAAAAAACATTAGTTCACTTTCGGAAGCAGTGGTAGATGGTTGGAAGAAGTTAAGTGAGGTGGTGGTGGATGCCAAAACTGTCAGTAGTTTCAAAGCGTTATACGACAGAGTGCTGGGTAGATGGGGGACACCACGAGCATAGTTTTCATCCTGTAATTACACTTAAGTAATTACAGTATTTACACAATTACCTGTACAGTATCACTAATTGGAAATACAGTAATAAAATACAAATACCGTACTGTACTTTGTTTATTTCTTTAATACAGTATTGAATTTGCAGTAAAGTTACATAACTTACATGAGGTACATAAAAATATCTACACATTTAAAACAGGTTATGGTGTAGTACAATACCTATATACAATAAATTACTTAATGAATACGTTACTATCATGGCTACCGATATAAATATTTATTTGAATATCAGCATATTGAGAACAAAAATATACATTTTTCTCTCTAATATAGGAAATGGCTTATTATACAAAATATAAATTATCTTTCTAATCACTATATAAGACAGTCACCACAACTGCACTGAAGCCTATAGGAGCCAGTGAGTGATGGTGTGCCATGCACGTCACTTGCTTGTACTTGCTGCAGTCACAATGAAAAGTAAAGGTAACATACAGGCCAATTGCTTAACTGGTGGGTATGTTACCCATGAAACATTATAGGAAGGAATAAGGGGGAAGGGGATACCCACTTCAAATGGGTACCAATACCTGCTAGAGTACAACTTGATGCTCTTGGGATTTGTATGGCTCTATGCTGCTTGTCACTTATTTTCTTATGTTGTTGTTTCCACTGGTCTTGCCCTTTTTATTTTTGTATCCACCTTTTGAATTTTGCAGCTGAGTATGCTCTCTGCAGCAGTCTTGATGCTTTATGGAAGGTTAAATTCAGTGCAATAGAGTACCAATCACTTTATTATGTAAATACTAAACCAACTCCTAGACTTCAGCATACTGTATTTAACATAATTTTCCTTATATACATGTATACACAATATATATACCTATTTGTACATGTGAAGGATCATACGCTGAGGATGACATAACAATTAGTGAAATCCTTAAAAGAAAGCAGTATGAAGACATGTTTAGCACTCCAATACACAGCATGAAAGTGGAAGATCTGGACAACTGTAAGATAATATAGTTCAAGTAAACTAAAACCATAGTAGTGTGTCCCCAGCACATTAGTAATCACTATGATATTTCTAAATATTATATTAATTAGATTAACATAACTTGTTCTTGTTGGAGGGTTCATTATGATAATTGGTAATTGGGGGGTAGAAATAGCCTAAGCTACTCTATCCCTTTGAGATGTATATTTTTTTTCTTGTCTCAATAAATTTACTTGAACTTGAACTTGAATTGGTAATTTCTTTTTGATACATTTGTTTTGTGTTATTTCAGATAGTAAGTAGTGAACTGAGTCTAAATAAGTAATTATCAAACGAAGGCACCAAATCGAGAAGTCTATATAGCACCATCAAATGTGTGGGATAACCAGAGGGCGCTAAATATCACCAAGGATGCCAATACGAGAACAGAAACTCATAAGGCGAGTGATATCAAAAGTATCCGAGTCACCAAGAATTCTATCACGGGACATGCGACTGCGTGGGACGGTCGGAAAACAAGACACACGCTTGTCCTGGAAGTCAGGACATTCAACAGATATATACATGACTGTAAGAGGGACAATGCAATTCGGACAATAAGGAGCAGGGCGGCGTATTAAGTGACCACGAGTTAAGCGAGTATGGCCAATACGCAACCTCGCCAGAGCCGTTTCCCATCGCCGGTTATGGAGGTAGGAGGATGGCCACAAGGACACAACTTTTAAGAGTATGCAGTTTGTTACCAGTAACAGAAGACCAACAAGCTTGCCAACGGGTAAGGATGGAGGAATGGATAACTGGGTAAAAGTCGGATTAAGGAATACCTTTACGAGAGATGGGACAAGAGTGAACAGCTTCCCTGGCGGTGGCATTTGCATGCTCATTTAAGGGGGCTTATTACCGGTTTCGTAAAAATTGTTCAATTTGTTTATAAATTTATTTATGAAATGGTTATAGAAAGAGCTGCAACTGGTCCAAGTTTCAGCATCACACCCTAAACAGAAAAGGAGAAAAAAAAATACACAACGAATTTTCAACATTTTCAAATAATTTCAGGGAACACACATGTCAACTAAAATCATTTCTATAACACTCAGATATTAAATTAACACATAATAAAGGATTGTATTGATCAGTTTTATCAAAAAAAGTGTTTAGTGCAATAATATAATTATTCAAAGTTACCCTTCCAAAAATATGCAATATATGATGTTTATAAATTTTTATAAAATCAACAAATGGACTTTGGACTAAAATGTCTCAATAGGTTTGTAGAAGCACAAACTCTACATATAAGGTGTAATTTGCATGTAAATTGATTAATAAATGAAAGCTGAGAAACGCCTTGAAGTTGTAAATTACTTTCCAGAGTAAAATAAAGATCCAAGTTCGGCCACCTGTAGCTGAGCTTGACTTCGACAGATTTCGTTCATAATTGGCACCCTTGCAGATAGGCATCCATTGAGCAAGGTGTGCAAGTTTCATGCAAATCCCTTGATAACAAACGAGAAAAAAAAAAAAAAAAAAAAATTACATATAAATATATTGCACATACATATTACAATTATTACAAGAGTTTGTGCTTCTACAGCACATAGTAGACATTTTAGTTGACATGTGTTTCCTGAGATTATTTGAGAATGTTGAACATTCGTTGCGTAATACGTTGTGTATTTTTTTCTCCTTTTCTGTTTAGGGTGTGATGGTGAAACTTGGACCAGTTGCAGCCCTTTCTATAACCATTTCATAAAAAAATTTATAAGCAAATTGAACAACTTTTAATTTATGGGTATATGCCCCCTTAATGAGACACCAATATGGCTGGGAACCCAGCAAAACTCAACAGACTTAAATTTACTGTGAATAAGAAACAGCCAATGCTGGATCTCGACAACCACTGGATGAACCGGACTAAAGGACCCAAGAGGCATGAGGGCACTACGAGAGTCAACAACAACTACAAAGGAAGATTGACAATGAGAAAGCAGTAGATGAAGAGCACAGAGAATAGCATAAAGTTCCGCTGAAAAGATGCTAGTTTTCGGAGGTAAGCAACACATAAGTGCAATCAGGAAAAACAACAGAGTAGCCTACACCGTCCGCAGACTTAGACCCATTGGCTAAGATGGAAATGGAGTAGGAGTGAGAAGAAGAGTGCTCAAGGAAAAGGTGTTTTAGAACCCTTGGAGGGGTAAAAGCCTTAGTGATGCAGGTTAAGGATCTACAAAACTGCGGAAGGGGGACTCTTCACGGAGCCAAAGAAGGAACAGCACAAGGAGAAATATTAGAAATACAAATTGAAAGAGAGTCCTGTAAGCGAGATAACTGGACAGAAAGAGGGAGGTGGTGAAGAGGAAAAGGAACCACAGGAGGGGCAAAAGTTAAAGCACGATAGAGGCGAGAGGAAGGATGTTGCAAGGACTGCGCAAGATAGGGAAGACAGTAGCGATCACAGTGGTCCTGGATAGGAAGCCAGTGTCAATATACAAGCTGAGGACTGGAGTCGAACAAAAGGCACCAGAACTGATGTGTAACCCAATATAGTGCAAAGCATCAAGACAGTGAAGAGTAGGAGGAGAAGCAGACGAGTAAGCAAGGCAACCATAATCGAGCTTAGACAGGACGAGAGAGGAATGTAAAGCGAGGAGTGCGCGCCTATTCGCTCCCCAAGAAGTATGGGACAATACCTGAAGGAGGGTAAGGGCTTTAGAGCATTCAACTTGGAGGTAAGAGATATGGGGTGACCAAGACAAACGAGTGTCAAAAATCAACCCTAAAAGCTTAGCGGAATCCTCGTACACAATGGGGTGACCATAAAGCGACAAAGAAGGACGAAGAACGACACGCTTTCGAGTAAAAGTCATAGCACAAGTCTTAGACGTAGAGAACCTAAAGCCATGATTGGTAGCCCAAGACGACACGGCATCAATCACAAGTTGAAGCCAGCGTTGAAGGAGAGGCGAATCATCACCCTGACAGCAAAGGGTAATATCGTCGACATAAGAGTGCGGAGAAGATGCCAGAAGGAAGAGAGGAAAGAAGACCATTGAGGGCAACTAGAAAAAGAGTAGTGCACAGAACACTACCCTGGGGCACACCTTCGTATTGCTGAAAAGAGGCAGAGAGAGCGGTACCAAGCCTCACCCGAAAGGAACGACGAGAGGGGAAACTTTGGAGAAAGAGAGGAGATGACCACGAAGGCCAAAAGAATGAAGCTGGGATAGAATATGATATCGCCAAGTGGTGTCGTAAGCCTTTTCCAGGTCAAAAAGGACGGCAACAACGGAGGTCTTCGCAGCAAAAGCAGTACGAATATAGATCTCAAAGTTCACCAGGACATCTGTTATGCTGCGGCATTTGCGGAAACCCAATTGCGAAGGGAAGAGGTGGTGATGGTGTTCTAAGAACCACATCAGACAAACGTTAACCATACATTCAAAGAGTTTGCAGACACAACTCATGAGGGCAATAGGGCGAAAGTTCTTAGGGGATGTTCCTAGAGACCCTGGTTTGCAAACAGGGAGGACAACGGCATCGAGCCAGTCCTCAGGGACTGATGACGACTCCCAGATCCAATTATACAGAATCAGTAAATACTGAGACATGCACAGAGGAAGATGGCGAAGCATCTCATAATGAATGCCATCGGAGCCCGCTGCCGTAGAACTGCAGAGGGCCAGGGTAGACCGAAGTTCAGAGAGAGAGAAGGGATCGTTATAGGGAAGTCGAAGATGAGTGCAGAAATCTAAAGGACAAGATTCAAGGACAGGTTTACGAAGAAGGAAAGATTGGGGAAGATGAGAACCAGAGCTAACAGAAGAAAAGTGGGAACCCAGTTCGGTAGCGACCTGCAATGAGTCTGCCACAAGAGTACCATGGAGGTGAAGGACCAAAGAGACATCGGGAACGAACTTACCCACTATCTTGTGGATTGAACCGAGTCTAATAAAGCCAAATAGTAGTATTCAAGAGTGTAAACCACTTCTGTGTCAATTTGGACACTTGAACGTTGGATGGACAAACTTGAAGAAAATCTCATGGGTATGTTCCCACACTTGGATAACATTAGTCGCTGGACACAACCAGCTTCAGGAAGCCAATGGGGTTTCCTACAGAAAAGGCAATTGAACAGTCATAATGCATCTGTTTTCAATACTGCTAATCCCTTATGGTAAATATGTTAAGGGAAATCAGTTTTTTTTTTTTAACACCTGATAATACTGTACATCAGATTAACATACTAAACAGATCCCCTTGTGCTAAATTATTTTTGACACTAGTTAATTACTACACAAGTATTTAGCATTAAAATAACTGCAAATTAAGAAAATAGCTTTCAAGGAATGGAAGGGTTTCACTATGTATGGCACATGTGGCCACTCAACATCTTTATGAGCCCGTGCCTGACAAGAGTCACACTATATGCCTCTATCTTTAACTTTAGTCATCATAAAGCACTATTAATGTAGTAAATATTTGTTGAAAATGTAAAAAAAATAATATAACATGAAGAGGGGTAATGTAAATAAGGTTTACTTGTGATAAATATAATTAAATACATTCAAGTGCACCAATATGTGGAGATGTTGTATGCTTGTATTAAGGTGTGTAGCACCTGTGACTATCAACACTCGTGTAGTCAAGAGCTCAACTTCATACATAAGGGTCTAACCAACATGGGATCACACAAGGGAGGGATCACATAGGGGGGGGCCTGGTAGCCTGGTGGATAGTGTGAAGGACTCGTAATTCTGTGGCGGGGGTTCGATTCCCGCACCAGGCAGAAACAAATGGACAAAGTTTCTTTCACCCTGAATGCCCCTGTTACTTAGCAGTAAATAGGTACCTGGGAGTTAGTCAGCTGTCACGGGCTGCTTCCTGAGGTGTGTGTGTGTGTGGTGTGGAAAAAAAAAGTAGTTAGTAAACTGATTGACAGTTGAGAGGAAGGCTGAAAGAGCAAAGCTCAACTCCCGCAAACACAACTAGGTGAATACAAAATTTCTTGCAACGCAAACCTGACAGAATACTATGAAAAGAGTAACTCAGTACAGTACACAGTTCCTTCTCTTTCTCCTATCTTCCTAATGGTTTTCGATTAGGAAATAATAAAAACAAAAATTAATATGCACAGTGGAAAAACAAGTTGATATAACTGAAAAGGAATTAAAATGGGAATGGAATTACTTGACAAGAGTTATGAAAATGGTTATTATAAGTGAGGCAATAATATCATAATGGTGAGAACGACAAGTGGGATCCCTGAGGCGTAGTCCGTGGGCCACTCCTCTAACTTACTTAGGTAAATGACCTACGTGAGAAAGTGGTCTCCATGTCAATATTCACAGACAAATGTTAACTGACAAATATAAGGACAACCAAGGTCTCCAAAATGCTGCAAGATAATCTAAAACTGCATGAGGGGTTAAATAAATAACTATTGAAATTTAGCCCTCAAAATGTAGAGTACTGTCAAAGATATATCCATTTAATTTATCATTTTGATTTACATTCAGTGGCATTTTTCAACCCCTTTTCAGTTTACATATAGTACCTCAAAAACTGAATAGTTTTGGAAAGTCAAGAAATTTGCAACAAGGCTGGCAAGCATTAGCAATGTGAGATTTGAGCAATAAGGATAAACTGGAGGAGAATCTGCAATCACTGGAGGAGAGAGTCAAGAGTAGACATAATCACCCAATGTAAGATGCTAAGAAACCAAGTGAGCTGACTGAGCAAACAACAACAGCCAGTTCCAAATGATTACAAATATAGTGAGGCCACAAAAAGCTGTAAACAAATAAGAGAAAAAAAATGTTCAGACGCTACTGTTATGGATCTCAAAGTTGATCAAATATGAGCAAGTCTAGTCAGAAGCTCTGTTACAATTGCAGAGAAACAAACAAATCTGATCAGCAGGATTTCACTCAATTTTTTTAAGTCACATCAAGGAGGAAGCAGCAAAAAATATAGAAACAAAATACTAAATAATTGACTTTACTCAAGTGATTTTGCTATCAAAATAGCATCAAATATACTGTACAGTACTAGCATTTGAACAAATATAAACATAACAGCTGTGGCAAAAACAAAATAAAAAGAAGTGAAAATAATTTTGAATTTCTAATCTTTCACTTCAAATTTTTATGCTAAATCAGGTGGGGAACTAGCAAAAAATTTATCTGTCCGTACAAAACTGTACTGTACTCCTTTAGTATATGAGGAATGAATAGGTTAAACACACTGAAGGCAAAGGCAATACACAGAGGATAACTCATGCAATAGCTTTGCAAGGAGATATAAAATCATAGAAAGTTGAAAGTAGTATTTTATATACCCAAAATGAGAGGAATCAGGCTCAATGTGAATTCCTTATTACACTCATGTACACAGATAGAAACACTCGCCCATCTAATTAAAAGCTAAATGCCATGGCAGCAAAGAGCTGGCATGTTTCAGAAAATTTTGGTTAAAATATTGTGAAAATTAGGAACTAACTGCTGACCTGTTTGAAGTGTGGAATATAGAGTTAAACTTCCTGACCAGTTTGCCTGTGATATTTAGAGTTCCATGTTAGTAAATTTCAGATGAATTAACATTTAAATAATGGTATGTCAATTGTTACTGACCAAACTTCCAGGAAACATTCCTCACTTAAACAGCAACAAATTGAAAGATAACATGCATAAGGTTCAAAACAACTTTAGGAAATTTTGTCATGGTATACTGCAGGCCTAGCCAGGGCAAACCTGGAGAGCTCTTGCTTATTTTATATATTTCTTCATACAGTATACAAATTTATAGTAAACATTTCCTAATATATTTTTTTATATTTTTCTTTGTGGACAGATGCTTTAATAGGGAATAAAAAGTGTCTCTTCTGTTCAATGACATTCAAAGATACACAGGATACCTGTTATTCATCATAACCTTTAGTGACCATTAATTTCACAAAATAAACTCATCTCCTCACATGGTCAAGTTTTCAAGATGAATATTCTAAATGTTCATTCTAAATGCAATTGTGTAGATGAAATATTTATTAAACCTCTATCACAATATGACTACAGCATTAATATCTTGGCATGTCAGTCATTATTTGAATACACATTTATTTATTACTTGCTAAAATAACATATTGCTATAGTAAAAATACTTGAAGGAATGTGTGTGTGAACTATTGTATGCTGGATAAAATAAATATATACAATGTGGCATTTACACAAGATAATATTAATATATCTTATATACATGTATAGTACTTAAAAGATTCAATGTATTTTATGTAACATATGAATGGCATATTTATAAAACTAAGGCTCAAGAAAGATTATATGTTATATGGGAGATGCACAAAACACTAAACAAATAATGTGTGTGGAACTAGACCCAAGGAAATGGTCTCGTGGTTGCTGGATGAAGACTTGTGACAGGAGGATCCTGTCCACCACACAGGTGAAAAGGTGGTGGAGGCCAAGACCGTCAGTAGTTTCAAAGCGTTGTATGACAATGAGTGCTGGGAAGACGGGACACTACGAGTGTAGCTCTAATCCTGTAACTACACTTAGGTAATTACACCAACTCTTCCCTACATCACCTACAGGAATGGCCGCACACGGCATCATAAGTGAACACTCAAATGCACTCTACTGTATATGATTTTCATTTAAAACTAAAAAATAATAGCACCATCTCGGGCTGTATTATGGAGACAAACCATATACTGTACAGTAAAGTACCTGTAAATATAATACACTTAATGAAACTTTGAATGTTTCCACAACTTCTTAAATATAATCTTACTTTTTTCTCCGTGCAGAATGATGTGATAACATTACCGACGAAAACGTTTAACACAAATTAAGAGGGAATGATAACGTTTCATTATATTATATACAATTGCAATTTTATGTTAATAGAGTCAAAACTAACCTAACCTACCAACCTTGACCTTGAGGTTACCTTGAGGTACTTCCGGGGCTTAGCGTCCCCGCGGCCCGGTCGTCGACCAGGCCTCCTGGTTGCTGGACTGATCAACCAGGCTGTTGGACGCGGCTGCTCGCAGCCTGACGTATGAGTCACAGCCTGGTTGATCAGGTATCCTTTGGAGGTGCTTATCCAGTTCTCTCTTGAACACTGTGAGGGGTCGGCCAGTTATGCCCCTTACTGATCTTACTGACCTAACCTAACCTACCCTAATGTAACATTACCTAACATAACTAAGTTAGTAATTCATGTTCCTAATAGATTATTATCATTAGAAAGAACCAATCTGGAAAGAAATATTTGACAATAATGAAAATCATTTGGCCTGTTAGGCAAATTGGACCTTGCATACAAGGCCAAGTAGAGCAGTTTTGGCTATTAGGCATGACATACACATACATACACACGGATGTCTTAAAATATAGAATACAGATACATAAATGTGAAATTTTTTATGTATGGAACCAAATTACATACAACATAAAGTATACAATATTATATACATAATATATCCTAAATAGAGCCACCTTTACATGGTTGTCCAAAGTCAACCACGCAACACTACCCAAATCCCAATGACAGTCACAAAGGAACCCCACTGGTATTTGCTCTCTAAAAATTAAGTGAACCCTACAACAAGACTACAAGTCATTTTAAGCTAATTTATTTTCATTGCAGTAATGTTAACATTCCATAATTCCACAATATATTTGCTCTGCAAACAATTTAATACTTTTCCTGAACAGTGGTGGTGCTGGTGGTGATGGTGGTACCAGAGGTAACGGCTGCTGTGGTGTTTCTCGATGTTCTGGTTGTGAAAGGCAATGTGAAGCCACCCTCACGCACTTTTTTATAAAACAGGAATGCATTAAAACCATATATACACATGGCAACGAAGCTAAAGAATGAAGCCACAGCAAAAGCATCTCCAGCCCTGAAAAGATAAGTTACACAAGTTATAATCAGGCTGATGTAAAACAACATTTTTTCAATTCTTAAGTGTCTCGCATATACAAATGCAAGTCAGTGGTTATACTGTAATACATATATTCTATATTTTTACAAACCCAGAGAGGGAGCAAGAGAGTGCTAGATCTCATATTTACATGCTAGCAATGTGCAAGCTGGTTGGCTGGCTTTAGTTAGTTTCTCTGCCTAGTTTTAGGGGGCACTGAAGTCACTACAGCACTCCCCCCCCCATTCCCCCATCCACCCCCCTCTCTCCAGAGAACATGGTAACCGAGTGTCCAGGAATTATACAGGATATTGCAGGGTGTATCTCGTGAGAGTTGTGTGATTCTCCATGATGACATCTCTATTGTTATCATGTATGTCATCATAAATGACAACAATGGTGTTGGAAGGCTTGAATCTAGAGCAGGTACTGGTAGATGAAATGAATCAGTGGGCATTTCTTCAGGAAGAGTCTGCTGGTGGTGGGGGTTTCCATTTGTTGCCATGGATATAACAACTCTGCAGCAGGGACAGGCAGAGATGCAGTGGTGTCATTATGTGCTGCATCCACTGGGACAGGCAGAGCTGGAGTGGTGTCAATATGTGCTGCATCCACAGGGACAAGCAAAGCTGGAGTGGTGTCAATATGTGCTGCATCCACAGGGACAGGAGCTGGAGAATATGTGCTCCACAGGAGTGGTGTGTCAATATGTGCTGCATCCACAGGGACAAGCAGAGCTGGAGTGGTGTCAATATGTGCTGTATCTGCTGGGATAGGCAGAGCTGGAGTGATCAATATGTGCTGCATCCACTGGGACAGGCAGAGCCAGTGTGGTGTCAATATGTGCTGGATCTGCTGGGGACAGGCAGAGCTGGAGTGGTATCAAAATGTGCCACTTTCCTAACCTGATCAATTAAGACAACCACTTGAGCTCCCTGATGGTCAATATTGATGGTTTTCAGAGCTCTTGACTGAACACAGAAAGGTCCCCCATATGGCTGCTGTAGCAGCTGATGCACAGCATCAACCCTCACCAAAATCCAGCGTTGAATGTAATGAAACACCATTTTCTGGGTGAGACCTGGAGCTATCCAGGCTAATATAATGAATGTACTAGACCCTGGCATCAGTCAAGCGAATGGAGTTCTTAGGCCTCCCAGGGACCACGAGCCAGAACCTGGCCCTACCCCCCTCAGGTGAGGCAAGAGGAGCAATTGCCTATAGAACCTCCCCCCCTCCCCCCCGTGTGGTTGGAAGCATTCTATGTCTGCCATCGACCAGATCAGGCACCCAGAAAAGTAGGCGACCCAAAACAAACCCCTATCTGGTTAAAATATTGCTACTGAAATCCGAACTGTTGGACAGAACTCCCCAAATGAAAAATGAGCAAATGAGCATGATGTTACAACCGTCACTGCGCCACTGTCTGCGCAGCTCCTCTCCCCCAGGTAGGAGGAAAAGGGAGCCCAAGCCCCCTACTGGCCTATCCCCATCCCTAGTTCCGAGGCTGGATATCAAAACTCGCAAAAACCGCCGACCGGAGAGAGGGAGAGTTATCTTCTTCTTGAGGTTATCTTGAAGTGATTCCAGGGCTCTGCGACCCGGTTGTCAACCAGGCCTCCTCGTTGCTGGACTGGTGAACCAGGCTGTTGGATGCGGCTGCTCGCAGCCTGGCTTATGAGTCACAGCCTGGTTGATCAGGTATCCTTTGGAGGTGTTTGTCACATTCTCTCTTGAACACTGAGAGGTCAGCCAGTTATGCCCCTTATGTGTAGTGGAAGCGTGTTGAACAGTCTCGGGCCTCTGATGTTGATAGAGTTCTCTCTCAGAGTACCTGTTGCACCTCTGCTTTTCAATGGGGGGGGGGGTATTCTGCACATCCTGCCATGCCTTCTGGTCTGATGTGATGTTATTTCTGTATGCAGGTTTGGGACCAGTCCCTCTACTATTTTCCATGTGTAAATTATTATGTATCTCTCCCGCCTGCGCTCAAGAGAATACAGATTTAGGCTTTTTAGTCGGTCCCAATAGTTTAGATGCTTTACTGAGTGGATTCTAGCAGTAAAGGATCTCTGCATGCTCTCCAGGTCAGCAATTTCCCCAGCTTTGAAAGGGGCTGTCATTGTGCAGCAGTACTCCACTCTAGAGAGCACTAGCGTCATGAAAAGTATCATCATCAGTATAGCATCTCTGGTGTGAAAGGTTCTTGTTATCCAACCTGTCATTTTTCTTGCAGTTGTGACGGCTACTGTATTGCGTTCTTTAAAGGTAAGGTCTTCCGACATGAGTACACTGGGGTTGCCTGGGAGCCTCCGGGTCTCGCCCAAAATGGCTTTTCATTACATTCAAAGCTGCTTTTCTAGGGGGGGATCCCCTTTGGCTGCCTAGAGCTACTTCACCAAAGATAAAAACAAGAGGGACTTACCCGAGAGGGGATTGCCACTCACTCCTGAACTCGAAGTTGAGACAACTGGCTGCAACTGCAGACCCAATGTGACACATTGGGTCTAGGTTCCTGACTAGAGCCAGGAACACTGACTAGGTAGTGAGCAGCCAGGACCCTGTTTGGCCTCCAAAAACCCCGTGCCCGAATGTCAGCCCAAGACATGTTACCAAAGACGGCAGCCAACACACCAAACTTATGAACGTCATGGGCACGAGGCTAGACTGCAGGCTGGCTGGACTGAATAATCCTGCAGACGAACTGGGAGACCCGAACAGCATGAGCAAGCCTGAAGTGAAACAATGTACAAGACAGCTTGCAAAACAGAATGGAATATCCACCCTGAACGCAAGCTGGAGCAGCTCTATCAGTGCCACATATTACAAGGTGACAGCATTTGGCGTAAGATGAGGGTCCTGAAACAGTTATGAGAAAGGACAAAACAACTTGATCCAAAACCAAAGATAACCTACGAAAAGAAACGAAAGAAGTGGCAGGAAACTTCATTTTGCCGTCAAGATGAAACACACAGGTGGGACACCATCAATGAAGCCACCTGATCACCATACAAGCGGTGATAGACCCATCTCAGAAAGACCAGATGCGAAGGTCGGATGAGAAGATTGAACCAGCCACGTACCGGACCAGACCGATCTGCTGGAAGAGGAAAAGTCCCCGGGTTCAGACACCAAGCAAGCAGCGCCAGAAACCAAGGCGAGGCCAGCCACCACGGGGCCAACAGGACAACTCTTCCCTGGTAAGTCTCCAACTGAGCCAGAACCTGAAGCAACAGCTGAACTGGAGGGAAGAGGTAAAGGTAACATCACCTCAACCAGTCCTGCCAGAAGGCAGCGACCCCGACGGCCTTGTAGGGGTCGACCGACCCCGACAGCGCCACATATGCCAGGAGATGCCTCGACCATGTTGATGCGAAGAGGTCCACCTCCAGGCACCTGTACATCTGGCAGAGTCAACGGAATGAGTCAGTGTCGATCGTCCATTCCGGGAAAAGTTAAATGAACCAGGAGAGTCAAACCCTGAGAACTCAGCAGAAGAGTCACCCAAAGCAATCAGCCCCAAAGAGCCAAGGACTGCTTCAAACCCCCTCGGTCCAGGCAATGAACCACCGAGGCGCAATCCAAATGGAGCCGAATCGTCGATCCGCGAGCCCTGAACCCTCATGAAGTGACAGCCACACTGCCGCAAACTCTCGCACCATGCTGTGAGCCTGATGGAAGGACAGACCCCACAGACCCTTGCCAGCCTGGTGAGCACTGGTCACAAAACCCAAGCCAAGAGACGATGCATCTATGTAAACATTGAGCTAAGATTCGGGTAGGTGCCACTGCACTGAACTCCGAAAAACCCAAAGAGGAAATCTACGATGCAACAGCCGACACAAGACCCCTGGAGGCCGAACCCAACAATTGCGAGAGCAGTGGAAGGGACGTCCCCGAAGGAACCAGAACAGCTGCCGAAGCCAGACCTGACCCAGTGGGTAAACCAGTACAGTGAAGTTCAGACTCCCTCACAGCTGCTCAAGCAACCGACGAGTGACCCAGGAGCCATCAAAAAACAGCTGAAAGCGGGACCGCAGCTGCAGCAATGACGCCGGAGGGAGAGACAACGAAGTGGTCTGAGAGTCCAGCACAAGACCCAGCCAAGTCAACCTGAGAGGGAACCAGATGGAACTTCCTCCAGGAAGTTCCGAACCCCCTTGCAGATGCAAGCAGGTCACGACAACTCGGGTAAGGTGTGTGAAAATGCGAGGTACCAGATTCAAGCCGAAACGAAGGCAACAAAAGCGGTTAGCTTGCCACCCCACAACAAAATTGAGCCAGTCCTTGAACCCCGGATGAATTGGGACGTGCCAGTATACGTCCTAGAGGTCCAGAGACACCATCCAAGCATCCGGCACCAAAAGAAGCCAGACAGAGTAGTCATCTAAAAGGAGGGGCAAATAAAGACCCAGGGGTTCAGACAGGACAAGTCCAGAATGAACCTCAGACCCGCACAGTCCTGCTTTGGGACTGGAAACAGACTCCAAATTCCAAACAAAACCCTCATCCAAATCTTCCTCAAGGTAAAATCCGGATCATGCAGGAGGTACGAAGCAATGGCCTTCTGAACCTCCTTTGGCAGGATGCGGGAAGCTGAAAACCTCCGGAAACCAGAGGAGCAGGCTCGAATGCCTCAGTCGCCAAACCGGATGGGGCAGCCCGCCCAGACTATCCGAGTCTCACCGACACCTAAACCCTGCCCTGACTCCGAAACACTCAGATGTTTCGCTGAAAGACCTGTGTCAATTTTGAACCAGGTGGAGTTTGTTTTGGGACTCTACAGTCTCATCTGAAGCCACCAGTGGTTTTTGTTTTGTTTCACTGACTTTCTCGGTGACTTTCCTGGTGGTTGGCATAAGTTAATAACTTAATACATAAATGCCACCGTTCTCTGTGCTTCTACGAGGGGAGGGGGTCAAGATTCTGCCTCCAGTAGGCCAACACAACTTTGTGACTGATGGAACCTAGAAGTATGACACACAATAAGAGATATCAAGGAGTCACAAGGGGCTCCCTCAGAAAATATATAAGCATGACAACATTTTCATGTAATCCTGTTTGGGATACATTTCCTAATACAATAGGTTTTATCTTGCCAATGCAAAACAATTAACAAATTATGCCAAATCATGTTCTCTTTTTGCTTTTAAGTTTTAGTCTCAGTGTCCCCCTCACCTTGCCCGAAACGCTATGCGTACTAGTGACTTTAGGTATTGTATGCACTATTTCTATCTTTAATTCCAACATTATGTATGTAACTCAATGTATGTACCTTTACCCGAATAAAAAATCTAAATCTAAATCTAAGTAAACACTTAAGTTACTCAAAACTGAGTAACCTGCCCTGTGACTTGAAAATGCTTGCCAACAGAGACTAGGGTGTCAACACTCACCCTCTCACAGCATAGTCAGCGGCAACACACCCACACACAAACCAGAAGAACGTCCATATGACTGTATAACAGAGTTCCTGTAGATTTAAAAGAAAAACTATTATAATTATTTCAGTGTAATATTAGATATTGTTCTCCACAAAAAAATTTACAAAAGAAACACAAGGAATGGAAGTTGTTAATTTTCATCTGATGTCAATTGTAAGAAAACCTACAATTTTTCAAATGATTGCCCCCTGCAATACAAGAGAGAGCGTAAATTAATCCCCCTGATTACAAGTATCAACACAGGCAAACAAGTGGGCCAGAGCCACTACTGTATCAGTAACTGAAACAAATCAAGCTAGTTCCTCCCCCTATCAAACCCTCTATGGTAAAAGAACTGTGCTTAAATAAAATCCCAAACTTACTTCATTCACTTAGTTGGTATACTTTATTCTTCAAGTCAATGTGATGGACCTTGGCATCATCTATGAGCCAGGTTCCAAACTAAAACAGTTGACCCTCCCATTAATATTAGTTTCCCATCTTCTAGTCTGCTGTGCTTGAGGTAATGAGTTACCAGGGATAGGCGACGGATATGAGTGAAGCAGGGAGAGTGAAGGAGTACTTTGGTCGATCTTGAGACGAGTTAGCCGGTGAAACTAGTTGAGCGCTGTGGACTTCACTCTTGGAAGGTGCTAGCCAGTGGGGCTAGTTGAGCATTGTGGGGCTGAATGAGCATACTAGCGAGTGCACTAAAAAGGGGGAGGGCACTTGAAGACGTCTCCATAACTGCACCTAGCGTGTGGGCTAGTGTTGTGTTGAAGACCTCGTCAGAGGACTATAGTGTCCGTAATCTTTGAAGCTAACTCGTGTGAGGGCTAGTGATGCTCTGGATGACCTCTCAAAGTAACTTGTACATAGTAGTGGTGACGGATAATAAGAACGGTTGATTTTAAGTGCTATTTAATTTCATATCCTTAAACATTACACTACATTTCCACTAATGTGGAAATGTAACCACTAAGGTTAAGGACCTCTGATCTTGAGAAGGATCATAGAGTTTAAAAAAAAAACAGTTATGGAAGGGTTCATAACATTAATGGCATCCCCAGCATTATCCTTTCCTCTTGTTCAGAGTGTCCATTGGTCTTGGTGGGTGTAGTGATTTGTTTAATTAAGGTAGTTTGAGAGTAAATATTTAAAGTAATTAGTGCAATCCCCATGGATAAATGTCCTTTTGATTTGTAAGTTTTAAGTGTAGTGTTTAGTGTCGGGAAACAGTGCAGTGTTGCGGAATTATTGCGTGCAGTGTTACGGAATTATTGTGTGCAGTATTACAAAAGAGAACACTGGCCGAGAAACAGATCATTTATACCCTGGATGATGTTCGGGAGTTCCTGAACCAGGAGAACTGCCTTCCCAAGTTGAAACATCTTGAAAAACCTGAGTTAGTTTTAATAAGTGCTTACCTGGAGATTAAGGCAAGTGATCGTGATGCACGTGTGGAAATCCTCTCAAAGGTATATAGGCATTTAAAACCTAACGGTAAGCAAGAAAGTGAAGTGCATAGTAAAGGTGAGTGTGTTATGGATTCCACTGAAAAGGAAGACCTTAACAAAAGCCTTAACAAAACCCTTAGACCGTGCAATACATACAGTATATAAATAATTTGAGAAACAAAACTGGAACTGTGCAATACATTAATAGCTGTTTTAGTGTGTAGCGCCTTAATTTAAATGCCCTGCGTGGGATAGGGGCAGCTATAGTGCAGCCATGACTGATAGTTGACATATGCAACCTAGAAAAAAAATTGTGGCTAACATTCCTGGGTGTGAGAGCTTCAGTACTGAGCGAGCCACCAAGGCTGCCGCATGCAGCATGAGCTCACAGCACCGCTATTCAGCTTGTGACCACAGGATCGCCTAAAAATGTCAAAATATATATGTTCAATCTATTATTAAGCGATGATAGTATTACAGAAGACCCCTGACTGTGATAAAACTGAACAGGATTCTGATAATAGCAGGATTGTGGTGATATTTAGCGCTGTGCTCCATGGTGGGAGGAGTAATGTTGAGGGAGGGAGGGAAGTGGCATCGTCTTCTTACTGTGTGTGGCCACCTTTTATTGACTGGACTTACCACACCAGCTTAGTGGTTCACTATGGTGAACACAAATGTAGATACTTATACAGTATATAACGTGTGTATAGAGTGTAATAACAGCAATAGAAGTATATTGAGAGCAGCCATTTTGATGAGGGAGGTGCATTGTCTGCATGACATGTCTTGCTATTTACTGGTGGCCACTACGGTCTTTGGGCACCATACCAGCTTATTTGTACAGGTATGGTGAATAAAACATGGAGATATTTATATATAATGTGTGTATATAGTGTAGTGAGTAGCTACATCTTATTGCCTTTATTCACCATACAAGCTTAGATGTACAGTTATAGTGAACAAAACATGCAAATACTTATATATAACGTCTGTGTATAGTGAATAAATGCAAAAACAGTATCGTGGGAGGAGAATGTGGGCGAGTGAGGTGTTGTGAGGGAGGGAGTGGCAGCGAGTAGCTGGCTGGTGTATGGCGATCACTCCTCCTTGCTTTTTTAAACTCACAATACCAACTTAGTGGTTCGTTATGGTGAGCAAAACATGCAGATACTTATATATAACCTGTGCATATAGTGTAATAACAGCAACACTATTTGTTTATTGATTTATGAACATAATATTTGAATCACTAATATGCACACCATAATTTTGAGTACAGCGATGGTTCACACATTTTATTATACAGGCATACCTCAGAATAAGAGTTTAATCCGTTCCTGGAGACGCCTCGCCTTCCGAAAACTCGCATTCCGAAGTTAATTTCCCCATAAGAAATAAAGGGAAATGAATTAATCCGTTCCTGACTACCCCAAAAACCCCACATCAAACTAAATTTTTATACCTAATTTACCTAATTCATCTAAATAAACCTACAAAACTGTGTTCCAGTTATTACTTATCTTGCTGTCGAGTGCTGTAGGCGTATGGAAGATGGTGAGGAGGGGGGAGGAGGAGAGGAGTTACTGTTTGGAAGGGGAGTCCCCTTCCATAATCACATCACATAACCCCATGCCTTGTAACACTATGGATACCACTTCTCTTTCTAAATTTTTCAAACCAGCCCCTGCTTGCCTTAAACTCTTTCTTATCTGCATCACTCGTTGCAGGGGTATTCTTTAGAAGGTCTTCGTGCAACACCCTGGCTTTCTCACAAATAATGGCCTCCGAAACACTATCACCCCTCAACTCCTTGTCGTGTATCCAAATTAATAACAACTTTTCCACTTCTTCAAGTATTTGTTTTCTTTGTGCCGTTAATGTTCTTACTCCTTTTGCCACTTTAGCACCCATAATCTTATTTTTCTTCTTAAGTATAGTGCATATTGTTGATGTGGCTTTGTTGTACTGCCTACAAAGTTCAACAACACGTGTACCGTTCTCATGCTTCCGAATGATCTCTTGTTTCTCCTCTATTGTCATCCTCACATGAGCTTTCTGGCCTTTATCCTTACCACTGGCTTTCTTGGGACCCATGGTGAGATATATAATAACAAATTGTATAGACAAATCACCAAAAATCCAACAAAACACTGAAAATCCGCGAGAAGAATTGATGTGGGGGTAGTCACTGAGCGCGAGACAATAATAAACTGAGGGGCGGAGGGGCGACGATCGCCGAACCACCACGCCCTAGGTCGGCTGTACGCGTATCAACAAACTCGCGTCCAAACTCGCCTCCCGAAGTAACCATCGCCTTCCGAGACAAATTTTTGGAGTAAATACACCTCGCCTTCCGAAAACCTCGCATACAGGGACAATCGCATTCCGAGGTACCACTGTACATACATACATACATACATACATATATACATATATATATATATATATCACAATGCACACTATTGAATAATATTACTGCAAAAAAACTAAGAAAAAATCAGAGACATTGAAATAATTGGGTAATAATATCTTTGTGGCAACTGCTGCCTGACAGCTCAGGCAGAGCAGACCTCGTCTGGCGACTGCTCTGTCAACGCCTCTTTTTTTTGCCAGACTTCCCCACCTGATTGTGGCCAAAATATGCCACCTACGATTTTTTTTTCCATGATCAGGGAACACAAATGACCACGTTTTTAAGACAAAAGAATTTCTTGGATTTTTTTTTGTTGCGCCTGTGGGTGTTGAAGCCATTATGACCCTTAGCGGCCCAAGGGTTAACAGTGAAAATGTGTGAATTAGAAATCTATCGTGAAATAGAGTGGAAAAAGCTGGAACTGGGGAGAGAACGAGAAGAAAGGAGAGAAGAGTGGGAAAGAGAAGAAAAGGAGAAAGAAAGAAGAGAAAGAGAAGAGAAGGAAATTGAAATAAATCGTGAAATCGAAGTGAAATGGTTAGAGTTAGAGGGAAATGAAACATTTAGAAATAGAAAGAGAAGAAAAGGAGAGAGAAAGAGAAGAGAGAGAAAGAAAGAAGAAAAGGAGAGAAAAACAACATGAACTCCAACCTTGTGGGTGAAGAAGCATTTAGTTCAGTGAACACTGAACTAAATAAAGTCCATCTTTTGTTAACTGCCAACAATCTCACCCTTAACATTGACAAAACTTTCTATATTTTGTTTGGCAATAAATCCTTAAATCAAATTAATCAAAGAATAAACAATATCCAAATTAGTGACAAAGTAGAAGGAAAATTCCATGGCGTTCTCATCAACAAGTTGAATTTCCAGGGACACATTCTAAATATATAAAAAAAAAAAGTTTCTAAAATCGTTAGCATTCTTTCTAAGATCAGATATTATGTTCCTCGCCCTGCCCTGGTGATGCTCTGTGACTCTCTCATCTATCCTTGTCTCAATTATGGTAGTTGTGCTTGGGGTTCTACTACACAAAATCATTTGCATCCTCTAATTATTCAACACAAAGCTGCTATTAGAACAATATCTTGCTCTGGCCCCAGACAGCACTCGGTACTCTTACTCAAATCTTTGAATATGTTAGATATTAAGTCACTGCACATCCTCTCATGCATAC